GGTTAATGGAGGATATCTTTAAGTGGCTCTTAATCGCGCCGTTTCAATACTGAGAAGAAAAAAAAAGATCTACTCTCTGATTCTCTCTAGTAAAAAACAAACAAAAAAAAAAAAAAATACATTTGTATTCTGGTGACTGCTGACGATGTAGCCCAACACAACAACATGTCTCCAGCTTAAGTATCTCATCGTTAACTGAGGTCAAAATCTTAAAGTGTTAAATGCTTATGAGTTTTTGTGGTCCTTCCATGTGCCAAAAAGCCTGTTGGAAGAAATTTAACCCGCAGAATGCTTGCAGTTTTGTTCCAAACTAATCCAGAGAAACTGTAATAAACCCGAACTCTATCCAAATCAGTCATTAGCAGCGACACTTTGACAGTTTCTGTCAAATTAAAATGATTTCAGTGGACCTGAATTTGTCAACACAGAGCTCTGTGTGTGTCCCTGTGTGTGTTCATGAGGGTAAGCGAGACCCAAGCTGTTAAACTGAAGCTCATGAGATAGAAAAGTGCCATCTCTTATTTAATGGTTCTGATGTTACATGTCTGTTAAGACAAAAAATTGCTTAGTTTCATAGTTATTTTTTATAGTAGTTTCAGCACTTCTCAAATATTTCTGTCTGTTTTTCTTGGGAGAAAGTTTGTTGGTTTTTGCTGAGAGCAATGCAGAAATCTACGCTTTGATTGCATGCGTTGCTGCAATTTTTGCTGCTTAAGCGTATGTTGGGAAGAGGGTGTGATCAATCCAACCTTTGCCACTTACTCTCCATAAAGAAGGCGGCATGCTCTGCCATGACTTGAAACTTTGTCATGATTTGGAAGTGTGTGTGAGCACACAGCTGGGGCCATGCATACCCTGAGGCCAGATCCATAACATGGCCGCTTGCCAGGAAAGTGGCCGAGAACCAATCACAAGTGTCCAGATTCAGCATGGGATGCAGAGGGAGATAATGGTGGTTTCAGATAAATGTTACTCATGTAATCATTGAGTACTCAGAAAGGGGACAGTAGTGTGTGCTGGTGTGTGTGTATACAGGTACTGTAGGCCATGTTGGTGAAGGGGTCTGCCACTGTTTCCTGTGTTCTCTATAAACAGGAAACAGATCTCTGTCGTAGTGTCTGTTACTCTCCTTTAATCTGTCGTTTTTGGTCTGTTCTTTGTTCTTCCTCCTTTTCCTTTGCTTGTTCATACACTTTATCAAGAAAAGGACAGGCACTCAGCTCTCAGCACGTCATTACTGATAGCAAAACAGGCTGTTTGAGCTGCTTTTGGGAAGATAGATGCGACTTTGTAGAATGTCCAGGGAGGCAGAACCGTCTGTTTCATACCTATTTTCTACATGCTCTATTCCTGGCATTCCTGTTTTTTTCCTCCTTTTGCTTCCCCTGGAAAGCCGTCAGTAATATGGAGCTATGGCTGCAGTTGCCTGCGACTGGATCGTGGTCATCTTTTGTTGCCTTTCCTCTTGCCCCGCCATTGAACGTGAGCTCGCTGTTTGTGCATGCAAAGCGGGCCGCAGGCCCCACAGGGTTTTCCTTTCCCACACCATTGGACACTTGAGGTGTTTGGCGGAGCAGGAGGTCGAGGAGAAGGCTAGGCGGAGGAGGAGGGGTGAGCTGTTCAGTTGGCCCAGGATTGGCACATCACTGTTTGTTGTTGCTAAGACCAAAGATGTCATCTTTGGACTCCCTCTGTTGCAACATACGCTACAAATGGAGTCACATAACAAAAACAGAAACCTTGGCAGGGAACCAAGCACAGGCATACACACACACACACACATAAACAGTTCATGCTCATAAAAAGCTCTGACACACAAAAAAGAGACCTTCCTCCCTGTCTTACAGAGTGCCTCCCGACTGTTCCCCGTGCCAGTCTCTGAAAGGAGAGCGGAACATTTGGGTTCAGTGCCTGGACACGGCTGGCTGGTCCCAGCGTGTTCACACTGAGCTTTGGGAATTATTTAAGGCCGATTTGACTGTTAGTTAGATTTAGATTTAGCTCTTCCCGTGCTACCTTTCAAATTGTTGTGAACAAAGGTTATTTGAAAGTCTCTCAACTTTCTTCCGTTGCAGGCCTCCTCTGGGGCCTCACCGGCCGTTCCACTTTAGCGTACAGACATTTACATGCTGATTTTCAAAAAATGTGTTCAGACATGTATGAGCCTCTCCACAAGCTTTCTGCACGCAGAAAGATAACTAGTGTTTGCTAACAGAGATTTCTTCATTTGTCTGCCAGCGAGCCCCTCCTATCTCTGCGTTTGTTAGTCTGCCACAGCCACTGGGGTTTTGGATTTACGACAGGAACTACGTCGATGCAGGCCGAATGGAAAGAGGCCCGCATGGGGGAAGAGACTGTTAGACTTTATGGATTAATAGAAGCCTGTGTTAGTAAGTGGAACTATAGGTAAAAGCAAAAAGTGCATTTCAAAAGGCCAGACCACCAGAGCCCACCCAACCCCAAAAAATCACATCCTGACCTGAGGGTTTAAAGCATGATAATATGCTCACAAACCTGGATCAGCCACACTTGGCCTATCCACAATCTGCTTTTTTCTATATTTAAAATCCCAAATTTGTCAGTACTTAACACTGGGGTCTTTCATTTTTGTTTTTCTCTTGTCAGCAACAGAAAAATTAAATAACTTGTTAATTCGCATCATTGTAAGCATTTTATAGTGGTTCATTGGACATATTCTTATACTGGGTTAAAAATGTTTTTTGATTGGTATGTTTAAAAAAAAAAAATAGGACATTTGAAAGGGCTTTTTTTCACCTCATGAAACGAGAGCTTTGGATTTCTGAATCGTTATATGCTCACAGCACCGAAGTGCTCACCTGAGTAATATTCTGCTGACAGAACTCTGTTTGGACAGCTTATTACACATCCAGGTGTCCATCTGCTAAAGTGAGTTTATGCTTCAGTGTCAGACCTTCGCAGAGCCTCCAGCGTACACGTTTGCATGTAACTACACGTCATGCTGGCAGACTGTAACAACTTCTACTTTAAAGTCTTCACTGGACACGCTGCCTCAAGAACTCAACATTTTGGCCGGACAGCGAAAAATCCTTAGGCAATAACCTGATCAGGTTTGCTCAGAATTCTGGCATTTACCAAGTCTTAATTCAACTCAGAAGCTCTGACTTTGAGAGCAAAGAATCAGTCAAAGCTGGCACCTGTTGGCACCCCTTAAAGTCTGATCTGTTTTCATGTGGGAGTAGTTTCAGTCAAAGCAGTGGATGTCGAACCAGGGCATCTTTTCGCCCGCATTCTCGGTTGAAGTTTTCTGAAGCAGAGCCACAAACCCTACTGCAAACTAGGGTGATGGCAGCTCAGTCTGCACACACAGACACGTCGCAAAGGCATCCACTGCAAATGTCTGCAAGGGTGTGGGTCAATGATGAAGGCTAATGTTAAATGATTCATTTGAACCCTGGCCAGTTTTTCACAAGCTGTCCAATGAGTAAAAGCCGTTCTGCCCTTTGAGGTTTTAAATGTGCTCAGTAAGGGTTTCCACTTTAAATTGGTTTAGTACAGGTTGAGTAAAAAGTGAGATAGTTGCACAAGTCGGAAGGCCTCCTAACTTCTCTGTTTTCCTTAACCTACGTTAGCGAAGGTAAGCAGTCCTGTCCTGTTTTCTAGTTTAAATTTGAAACATTTCGGGGGTTTTTGTCACGTGGAAATGAATTCAAACAGTATGACTTCTGTCATCGTCAACATGTCCTGTCTGCTTCCTATGCCATTTGTTGTTTGGTGGAAGTGTGGAGCTCCTGCAGCACAGTGCAGGCTTAAAGTAGAGGGAGGAAGAGGTTTGCACTGCAGACAAAGCCTAGATATGATTTTGCTTTTTGCACTGCGGCATTTTCTGTGCGGCGTTCTGTGGGTTCATGTTATGACTTTCACAGGAATATGATGAGTATCTGTAGAAGGTTTTGCTTGTCTTGTCATTCTGATGGTTTCTGCTGAGAAAAGAGCAGCACAAATAAAGCCTGTTATAACACACACTTGAGACAGAGGAAGCAAAAGCAAGGAGTCGATGAAAAATGATGACTCACCCAGGAGCAAATCCACACGTTCGGAGGCCAGGATCCTTCATAAACTGATGCATACCTGCACTGCAGTACGCCCAGCTCACAGTCACTAATGCAGGACTGTGTGGGCTGGAAGGAAGAGATTTATGGTGAGGCCCTTGAAACACAAACTTAACATAGTGGTATACTACATGTGCAGGCCGGCAATATAAAGTCTCACGCTTCGAGGATGATGACTTGGCTTTTAAGTAGGCCAAAGGCCAGATTGAAGGACACGCATGCACATAAGCTTACAGTGAGTCATTTTCACTTTCATCTCATCTCTGTGGGTTTTTCAAAAATAGCAGATTAATCCAGCGAAGTGAGCAGTTCAGGGAATTCGTCAGTTGTCCATCCCTATCTGCCTCCCCCTGCCTCTGTCTATCATCTGCTTTGCATTCTTTTTATCCTGCTCAGAGCCAGCAGAATGTGCTCAGTTAGGTTTGACCTTTGGATCGGCGTGAAAAGAGCGAGGATGATGGATTTATTACACTATAATAAAAATAAAAGGACGCAGAGCTTGACTGTTACTTCATAAATGGCTGAACATTTTCCAAAGTCCATTGTTCAAACGTGTTCGAGAACATGAAAATGCGTGTACGGAGACGTTCTGGTGAAAAGACACGGAGTGGGCCTGTTACAGCCAGTGCCAACAGCCAGGAAGTGGTTTTCAGGCCATGCAGTGATTTTTTTTTTTCTTTTTTTCTTTTTTTTTTTCTTCAAACCTGGAGTGGTGTTCAAAACTCTTCCGGTCTCTTTATAGAATCCAGCAAAGTACTGTTAAAGAAACGCATCCAAATCTTGTTAAGTCTTTCCTGTCTCGCAATTTTAAGGCCGTGAAAGGTTTCTGTTTCTTCCTCTCAGCGGCACGCAGCTTTTAAACATCCTGAGCGAGACAGATGTTCATTCTCTTCTGTCTCTCTTTCCTCTTCAAGGAGCATGTTTGACTGACGAGCAGAAGAAGAAGCGGCATCCTTGAGGCTCTGCCCCCTCCGCTGGTGGACCGCCCTGCACATCTGACCAGAGACCCGTTAAGTCACTTGGAAAGGTATGGGTATTAAAATTCAGTAGCTATGTTCAGACAGAGCACAGATGTTATGTTTTGTGTTTGCATGCAATGAGAGCAGAATGGAAAAAGATGGCCTGCGTTACATGTTGGCCTATGAAAGTTTGTGCTCATTAATTATGGACTTTGGAAATGTTCTAGCTCAGATGGAGAAGCTGCAGCACAGGAAAATATTCACTCTCTCATTTTTAAGGACATTTTTACACAAAAGAGTGTTAGAGTGTAATTTATTGGCCCCTCATACATACATACATACAGAGTGGCTCCAGCCCTATTGCTTACAGTGCGCTGGGCGCTGTCAGCAGATGTAGCGGAGTGTGCAGCACAGCTGAGCAGACAGCGCTGCCGCTGGGCATGCACTTGTAAATAAGGCATATTTGCGTTTGAAGATGTGTGGAACGGTTCTCTCTGTTAGTCCAAATCGACTGCATACAGTGCCCTGTAAAATAGGGCAACTCGAGGAAATGATATGATCTGTTTGTAGTGTTTTGTTCTCGCTTTCAGAAATCATCCCTCCGCTCTATTCTGGACATCTTTAACATCTGATTTGAACTATTTTTAAATATTTGAACTGCCTTTATGCATGCAGGGACTCCAGAGCTTAGCCTTAGCCCAGACTTTCAACATTTCCAGGATCCCAATCAATAGTTTTGTAAAGCAATATCTTTATATATACTGTTTCCTCCATTTTCCTCTCTTTTCTTTAACATGATGTTAATGTTGCGTTGGTCCAGTGTCCTTTTAAAAGAAAGGATTAAAGAGTCGTACGCCACTTTGAGATGAGATGTATACTTTAATCTGATGAGATATAAGCGATGTTTGTAGTGATTCGTGACAGATTAATTCAAATTGTATCAATCATAGCAGAGTAAGATATTAAATTCTTTAAAAACCATAAATACAAGGGATAGTCACGGTTTATTTTTGAGAGCTTTGAGGAGGTTTTGGGACCATTGCTATTAAATTGCTGTAAGATATGGAGCAACTAATCTGTTCTGATTCATATAAAAATAGCAAGCCGGACTTGTCATGTGGTGAATAAGCAGCAGAACCCGATGTGATACCGGCGTGTGATTAATGTGTAAGTGATAGCGTTTTGTGTTACCGAAGCCTCCACTGCGCCCAGACGTCTCCGAAGGTAGAAGCAAATCTTCTGGAGATCTGGAGGCACAGATGATGTTTTCAGAGGGTTTTTGGGGGGTTTTGAAAAGAGCAGCTGCAGTACATTGGCCTGCTGCTGTGGTTCATCTGGCCTTTTGTCTGCGTGTGCTGTGTGTCTGCCTCTCTGCGGACAGGCAGCTGCATTCTCATTCTTGACCATCAACGTAACACCCGCTGTGTCGGTAATGTGTATTGATTTTGGCCAAAAATGCCCCAGTGATTGGAGATTGAAGTGTGTAATTCCACTTTGCTCCTGAGCCAAGTTTTACATTGATAATCAATTCCAGCTGGGACTTTTGCGCTGCCGTGGGCAGTTCTGTCCGTTTTGCTCTTTTACTTTTTGCCCCAGCCTCTCCAAAGTGGAACTGACTGATGCAGCAAATGGGTGTTTTGGATAGAAAAATAAATCTAAGGCAGTTTTTGCCCTCTTCTTAACATAAACACAGTCTGTTCATTTTAAATGGAATACTAAGCAAAGTATAAATGACATTAACTAATCTTTAGCATGAGTACTTTGATAAAAGGGTCACCTTAAAATCAACGTGGTCAGAATTCGTTTAGTTATAAACAGTCCTGTTTAGTTTTAATAACTCCTGTAGCAACATTAATAATGATTACTCTGTCAGTAAAACGCACAGCATCCTGGTTCACAGAGTGTCTGTAGTATTTAATTAGAAATATTAGTTATAATTCAACTTTTATGGGCTTTCTTTTGCAGAAATTAAAAAGACCACGGAGCCATTCCAAGTAAGAAAGGACCATGTATCAAATGTATCTGGTCTGGCTCTACGCATCCCCAATGAGCTTGAATAAATTACTTTACTGCAATCATCGAGTATAAATTGTCGGTGCAAAATGTCAACATGCCTGTTTACTAAATCCCCCGCAAACAGCAGACCCTTCTATACAGAAAACTCACAGCCATGTTTTTGTTTTCAGACAGGAAGACGGCTCATGGGCAGCCAAAGTAAAGAGAAACGAGCTCTGCTTAGTTTACGAGCTAACCGAGGGCTCAAAAAGAGAGGAATGATAGGCGGCGCGGTGTCTGCTATCTGACCGTGGTGCCGATTTCGCAAAGGACGATGCTGAATGAGACGTGGTTTCATGCTAAATGTGTTTGAAATCCATTGCCACAGCAGTTACACAGATGTTTGTGACCAGCTAAAATGTCATCTACTACAGAAAGAAGAGGGCCTCAAACTCAGCTTGGCCACATCTTTAACAACACCATGTAAAAGGTCAAACGAACCAGCCGCAAAACAAATGACTCTGTCTTTAGCTGAATTAACTTCTTATGACAGTCAGAAACAGAGAGGCTGCACTGATGAAATGCTCACCAGCATCAGTCCTCAGTCAGTGTGTGAAAGCAGTTTATCTATTACAGCGACTATAGGACTATAGTTTAGTTTTCACATTTTAGCCCCAGAGTGATCAGTTGTCCGACTCTTAGTATTATATCTGTTACTTTTTCTGTCACCCTTCTCTATTTTGTATGCCTGTTATACTATTTTTTAGATGACTTGGGGACTGAAATAAGCTGCTGTCCTGTGATGCAGCTCATGATTCAGCTGCCACATATGGAAAAATTTATGGGAAAAATAGATTTGGACAAAATATTCTTAGATCGTGATAATTTTGGGGGCGATATTGCTTTAATATACCATTTAAAAACAAAAGGGCATGACGTCACCGGTTGACGTGTAAGCCTTTAAATTTTGCTTGGGGCATTTGGAGTTGCTGGATGCTGATGTAAGAGACGCTGCAGATAGATCAGACTTATTTTCCTGAGCTCATTGTCTCAAATGTGGCACTCATATCTCGCTCTCCCTCGTTATTCCACAGTCCTGGTTTGGTTTTTACCTCCTTTATGGGAAGGTTGCCATGTTCTGCTGTCAAGGTTACGACCCGATATGAAGTGAGCTGAGTCGTTTTGGCAGAATTGGCTGTGTTTTTCAGCTACTCCGTAGAGAGTTGCAGAGATGGGGCCTCAGGCCACCTTGTTCTGTTTCAGTCCCTTTATATTAGTCCATGTCGTGTTCTGCTCCAATTCAGAGGCGCTACGACGGCTCTGAAAATCAGCACTCCCATCAGGGTTGTCTTGGAAACTGTTGAGCCTAGCAAGTCCGTGTGACCCAAGGACATCTAGTAGACTTTAATAGCACCACTGCGTTTCATTTCTCCTTTTTTCATTTTGTTAATAATGCTGCAAATGACAGTTCTTATTTCTTATCATTACTGGATTGTGACTGAGTTTTTTGTGACTTTCAGTTTTTTAAACTATAAACAAGAATATGAACAATAAAAACAAGAGCCAGCAAATAAATGTACCAACTGCAAATGAATTAGCAGCACAAACAGAGAAATCCACCTCTTTTGATTCCTGCACTCTCTCCCTCCCTTTCTCTTAATTTTCTTTGATACATACAAAGATAAATTCCCCAGAAGGGATACTCTTCGACTCATTCGTGGCCGCGAATCGAGAAGGAAGAGAAACTCTGGATCCTCATGCTGAGTTTTTCTAAGGGGTCGTGAGAAACGGTGGTTGTGCAATCTCTAAAGAAGGATTAGGCCCTTAGAGGAGAGGAGGTAAAGATGAAGAGGGACACAGAGAAGGATGTGAAGGGGGAAATTGTGTTCTTGTAGGGAAGTCGTGATGGCAACCACTCTTGAAAGACGAACAGGGAAGTGGGGGAAGGGTGGCTGGGAAAGAACATCCAGGATTCCTAGAATAGACATATAGGGGGGAAAAAGATGGTGAGAACGTGATATGTTAATGGATTAGGTAGAGTGTGGCGATTGAGGGATGGGGCTTTGTGGGTCTGTTTAATGTTGATGGAGGCAGGCTGTAAAAGCACACTTCAAAGGTATGTAAACTTTACAGACATACTCATCCAAATCGCGCACACAGAAGCAGGCCCTGAGGCTGGCATGAGCACAGAAGAGACCTGAGGTGTCCTCTGCCATGCCCGATTAGAAGTACAATGAGTTGAGAGGCACTGCTCGGAGACAGAAGCTGCAGCTTTTATTCAATATGCATGCATATGAATTATCTCTATTGCTGCTTGGAGCACTGCTGTTTACTAGTTTTACATTCCCTATAATCAAATAGCACCCACAGAGACCAGCTGACATCCGTCAGGCAGGATTCTGACACAATTTTGTGTACAGGAATAGGTTTATATCTGTGATGGAGCGCTTCCTTTGAGGCATCTGTCAAAGACAGATGCGGTGTGTTTGGAATGCGTGCCGAGCTCTGCCCTTCAAGCAGAAAACCAGAGAAAAATCTTCGATTCTGCTGCACCGTCGGCATGGTGTGGCGTCTCAAAGAGGTCAAGAGATTCTTGTACAATCCAGCTCTGGGGAAAGACGGAGAATGGCAAAACAGGGAGAGAAGGCTGAATCTCAAGCTTTTTGACTGGATCAAAACAGCAAAGCAATGTGGTGTCTGTACTGGAACACGTTGTTGTTATTGTTTGTAAAGAAATATCAAAAGTATCTATCGAGGATGAAGCTTGGATCCTGGAAAACTGGAAGAATCTGGGTGCTTCCCTCAGTCACAGAGAACGTCTGTTATAAAGAAAAAAAACCCACCAGGGGTAGGAGCAGCAATAATGTCGATCCAATAGAATGGCAATTTGTCAAAGCACTGAGCTTCCACAAAGGGAGGCAGATCTCTGTTGGCCTGTAACAAAGCTTAACCCGTGGTGTTAAAGAATGGAGCCACTCTGCAACCTGCACATGCACGACACCAGACACCAAAAGCATCACCTTCGTGTTTTTTTTTTGTTTAGTTTTTTTTTGTAGCTACAAAGGGCTTCATCTTTTTTCAGCCCATATTTAGAAAGATGTACTTTCCTTCTAAGTGGTGTCACATATCAGCTCATCTGTGACTCTTTAAGATGGAGCCCACGAGGTGCTGATCTGTAAAGGTAACTACTGTTTGAGGTCATTGTCAAGCCAATAGAAATAAACAGTGTCATTAACAGGTGTCGGTTCATCGACATTATTGTTGCTCATGGGTGACATTTTTCTTCAGTCTGGTGTAATCTGTAACTGAGTGGTTGTTGTGGGAATTTCAAAATCGGATTTAACATATTTGACTTTCATTAACTTTGACTAATGCATGCGGTATGATAATCTGTTTTATATTTATTTGATTTTTTTTTTACTTACCTCTAGAGTCTTGAAGATCAAAGTGTCCTGCATAATTCCCCATAATTATTGTGTACCACTTTGTTTATAAAGCTTTGCCATAAAGAGCTTGCAAAATGACTAAATGACGCGGAAAGAAATTTACAACTGATTCCTGAAGCATAAAGATGAGAATTCTTTTCAGCATGCAGAAAGACATTACAGAAAAGGGTGTTTAATAAAAGAAAAGCTTTCCTTGTTGTTCAGCATGAAAGAGGGCTGTCAATACTTAGGATTGTGTTTCGCTGGTATAAGAGAGAGAATTAAATACCAGAAATTCACAGAAATGAGCTTCACACTGTGTTTAAAAAGCTGAAATAGGAACTACTGATGCTTTTACAAAAGGGTGATGAAAGAAGACACACCCCAAAATCCACAGGGGACAACATCAAGAGTTGCAAGCAGGCGATTTGGCAATAGACCTAGATGGTTTCATCCTAATGCTGCATGACAAGTGCCCCAAGAAGCTTACACAAGTAGGAACCTTTTACTGGTAATCAGGGGAGAAAACATCAGTCAAGAGTTGATGGACTTTGTTGCGGGAAAATCCTTAAAAACCTTAATCAGGTTCATTTTTATTAACAAAGATTGTTACGTTTCAAGCAATAAAGTAACTGGCTTTAACCAGCTAAAACAGATCCAGCCACTACACTGTTGAGACATTGACACAATTCAACTCACAAGTCTGAGGAAAAGCTACATTGGATAAAACAGGGACATCTTTTCCTGACTTTTCTGCTGTGCAGGAATCTTTGCAGTTCCTCATCCTCCCAAGCTGCCTGGGCAAAGCTTAACTAAGCTAAGCTAAGCTAGATTTGCATAAACACCTTTTTCTTTTTTTTTTCCCCCTCCCAGAGGCATGGGAGAAATAACTGGCCAAATTAATTTTCTCTCTTCTGCTTGTGCTGCTGCAACCTGAGGGATCATTGAGGTAGAGAATCAGCCAAAGAGGCGAAATGGTGCTGGAGGAGAGACTGCAAGGAGAGCAGTGAAATTTTAATGTGGCTGCCTTGTCTTTCACTGCCCGGCAAAGAAAAGCAATTACCAACACAGCTCCTCTCTCTGCGTCTGCTTACCTGTGACTCTGTTTGACTGCACAGAGCACACGGGGATTTTGGTTTGTTAAATGTACAAAAGGGGATATTGATTTGCACACTCCGGGGTGCAGGGGAACACCGAGAAAGTCACCTACACTGTGGAACTTGGTTGTAAATGTAAACGCAGTCAAACTTGAGGCAATAAAGCATCCTCTGTTACATAACTCTGATTTTAATTAAGTGGTAATAAACTTTATGGCTGATAAAATACCTCCCCCTCATCATATATTTTCTGTTTGGACTGATGTTGGATTTCCATCCAGCGTTCAGAAGCGATCACCTCAGGCTCTGGGTGTTGAGGTGTTTAATAAATGAGGGCATGAAAGCCAGAGGAGAGTAGACAATGGGCCAATGCAGATATGGAGAGAACGCTCACACGTGGCCGATGATAGGAAGAAGTTTGGAGTAATTGCTTTTTGTTTTTGTGCTGGTAACAGCTCACTGTGACATCCCTCTCTCTCTTCAATAAAACCTCACTATTTCTCTCTGCTTCTCCCATCTTTCTGTTATTGTGTTTTAAGGATGCGAAGGTTCGCCTACTGCAAGGTGGTCTTGGCCACCTCTCTGGTCTGGGTGATGCTGGACATGTTCATTCTTCTCTACTTCAGCGAGTGCAACAAGTGCGATGACAAGAAAGAACGAGGACTGCCTGGCAGAGACGGTGTGTGCACATCTACGTGTTTGCATTTAATACTGTAAGCTGACAGGGTTTGTAAAGGTTGTGTGTGTGTTTGTTTGTGTGTTTATATTAGACACGCTGTCCAGACCACGAGATGGACCGGGTGAAGGTGGCAAGCCGGTGGTGATCCCTAAAGACAACCAGGAGAAGATGAAGGAGATGTTTAAGATCAACCAGTTCAACCTCATGGCCTCTGAGATGATCGCTCTCAATCGCTCGCTGCCCGATGTCCGTCTGGAAGGGTGAGAAGCCTCTTAGAGTAATCGGTTGTCTCATGACTGTGTCTGACTGAACTCGATGCATTCTCCTCGAAATCAGTGTCAGGTTTTATTCAGAGTTAGGACAGTCCACTTGGGGGTTTATTAAAAACCAGAGTCGGATGTGTAGCCTCAAACCTGCACCATCAATTACATCCCAAACCTCCACTGACCAGCAAATGATGGATGTGCTTGATAACATTTAGAGGGAGGGATATATGGATACATAAAAGTAAGTCAGGGGAGAGAAGTTTGACTCATAACTTGTTGTGCTCATTACATTCACGAAATAAACTCATTTGTAATTCTTTTTTCTTTAAATTCATTAGAAATACATTTCTTATTAGGAGTGGGGAGCATTTAGGAACAGAAAAACATGCAGGCATAGCCAAGTATTCAGTATTATTGACTTTGATTCTCAGACAGTGAAATAGTCAGGGTGTGGTGGCCTGAAAAGTCCCACAAGAGCTTAAACTTCCCAAACATTCAGAAAGTGCCAATTCAATATGTCTATTGTATCCACCCAAATGCCATCTTTGTTTATTGTTCTGTAATTAGCATGCAAATAAATCAATTAAACCTTGCGTTACTAACAAGAAATGATACCATAAGTACTGATGCATGTTGGTCATGCTGCAGTTTTCAAATGCCGTCGCAAATGAAACTTCAGGCAAAAGCAGCAGAATGTCTCCAAAGATTTAGTATGTTTTTCTCTTTCTTTCTGGGTGTTCACAAAGCTCTTCTATCCATAATTCATTTAAAATTTAGCCTCAGTAATGCATTTTAGAAGAAGGGCTAATGGGAAAGAATTTTTAAAACCCCATTCTGAAGTGGACTGTTCGGACCCATCCTGAGTGCATTGTTGTTTAAAAATGTTTTGTTTATTTCTATTAAGCATTCTGTAGAATCCATCTCATTATGCTGTAAAGGAAACACTTCTTATTCATAAGGGCACAGGGGAGATTGTCCCTGACTGATTAAGGTGAAAAAGCAGTAAACTGACTGTTTTCCTCATCTTCGTTAAATAGATGAGAAATTCCTTCCAAAATGATTGTGACGGTAATCCAATTATAACTTTGCTGTGCAGCTTGGCTGTGCTCTCACCCTTGTTTTTAACAGACTGAAACCTTTATGCTTGTTTCATTGGCGGTGCTTATATTACCTCAAAACTTATTACCTTAAAACTCATCATTTTGTGTGTCGGTTCAGATTGCATTTGTGGATTTTTCAGAAAGGTTTGATCCATCACAACACAATCTTCTCAACTGTCCCACCTTTGCTTGTCTTAACAAATTAAGATGTGTCTCTATCCACCACCATTAGCCCACTGGCTCACCCTGCAGGTGTGCTTTAATACATCACTTTAATGAGGAAAGCAGAACTATTTCACAACCCTGTGATGCTAAAAGCTAAGTGTTAAGTCTGCAGCTGCAGTTTTACAAAAGGGGGAATGAGTTCAGGACCAAAGATGCTCCACTAATTACAGGGTATTTTACTGTGTACTCTTTGAAAAATGATTTAAAGAAAAGCTGTCAATAATGCTAAAAAGTTAAATGTGTTCACTCTTAAAGAAAAGACAAGCTTCATAACATGGACTGAGTTCTAAGAGTTTACTTTGAGTTTGAAAACTCTACAAGAATGTATTAGTGTTGAGGTGTGCGTCGAGCCAGAGGCTGGGGCTTGTTTTTATGCTGACAGCGTCAGAGCAGCAGACAGACGTGCATCCGGCCAGCAGCCTGAAAGATATGTCAAGGTTAGTTCAGACAATCGGAAAGCAGCTCGGCTCTCCATTCCCCTTTGCACCGTTTCTGATTCACCAGGGGGAAGCACGCAGGTCAGTAATGAGGGTTTTCATGATAGAGAGAGAAAGACTGGCAGAGAGACACGAGGCTGACGGGCAGGAGCATGTGCACAGCAGACGGGCAGGAGAGACGAAGGACATTGATCCGTGAAATGGGTTTTAGTCTTTGAGCGGGAGTTGATTACTAGGTGTGTTTTCACTCAGCCTCCCCTCCGTCTATCTGCTTTTCCAATTAGCAGATAAGACGGAGTCAATATCCAGCAACAGAATGTGCACCTGTGTGTGTCAGGATGCATACGTTTGTGTTGATTTTGTTTGTGTATCTCGTGTGCACACGTGTTTGTTGATCAGTGAGGCTCTGTGAATGAATTCATCACATTCACCACATAGGTGAGTTTGAGGTGGAAACTCACCTATGTGGAACCACTGAACGGGATGGAAAAAACGCATTTTACAGAGCACAGTCAAGTGTGTGTGTGTGTAGTCATCGTAAATGTGGCTGGGTGGATCTGCGCTATATGAAAGTTTTTCCACGACCGCACCTGTCAGAAAACTTGACATAGTCTCCTGTTTTTCTTTTTTTAATGATGACTGTAATGTTTTTGAAATTGCATTTCTGGATGTGTGTGTGCGTGTATGTGTGTAATGGTACAAAAGCTAGGCTTTTTAATTAGAACCAGTTTGCTCGCCCATCTTAAAAATTCCCACAATCCAATGGCTGGGGAAAAAAAAAAAAAGAAAAACTGGAACTCATTACAGTGTTTCGCTGCTGCCAAATGTGGCTCAGCAGCCCTGCCTGCTCGGAACGCCCAGCAAGTGCTCAATTTTTCAAATCTGCATCATGTCACTCAAAAACATGAGTCTGCCTGAGTTTGTCATCAGAAAACAAGCCCAACTCCGTCTCCTGAATCTTTACTCCCTGTTATGTTAGAAAAATATGGATGAGGAATGACCTGATTTGCAGGAGGGCTGAAAGACTCTGAGGCTCTCCCTGCTTTTCCAGTGAATCATCTTGTGTATTCATCAGTGTCCCTCCTTTCGGAGAACACGAGGACACGCACAGAAGAAACGGAGAAATCTGTGTTACTTAATGTGCTCCAGAGGCAGCTGCAGAATAAGTATACTCTTGACCTGCTCTCCTCTTGGGCTGTTACATTCCTTCTGTCATAATCAGCTGCAGAGGCAGCACTCCGGGAGGATCACAAGGAGGAGGGAGGGGGAGTTACAAAGATGGAGGAAGGGAGATCATATTCCATTTGGCTGTTGGCAGCGTTGAATTTGTCAGAGGAAGGAAGTCTCAGGGTGGTATCAGTTCTGTTTTCTGATGATGGATGAGTTGCTTTCTGACGCTCGTTATCATTGCAGGATGAAATCTCCCATGGCTTCATATCCTTTTTTTTTAACAAAAAATCTGATGGTTCCTTCATTATTTTAGCCCTTTTGTTTAAAGGTTATTTGAAATTTCCTGTTTTCCTTTATGAACGGGTTGGAACAGCATCAAACAGGACATCAAGACTTGTTCCAAAGTCTTCACAGTCCTGTGTTCTATAACAGACTAACAAATACACTAAAATGTTGTTAAAATAGATTAAAAGATGGCTTCTCTTTGCCTTGTTGATAAAGTCTAAGGCTCTGGGTCTGACTGGGTGAGATGGATTTACTGCCGTGGCTCTGATGTGTCATCATCCACCTCTGTCTGTGTGACAGGGAGCAAAGACTGCAGCTGCGGTTCATTCATTCATTGATTTGTATTTTTTTTTTTCAGTTCTATAACGCGGTCTGTGCAATTTCTCTGAAAAGCTGAGCCAAATTAAGACCAGACCTGTGCACTGCATGTCCATCGATTGCTGGACTGAATGCAGCTCCCACTTGTGCCGTTGTGAAAGTGATGTAAAAACATTACCAGGTCCAGCCCACCAAGGCTGGACTTGTGAGGCGAGTAATGAAGGGGAAAATCCATCCAACTCATCATTTACAGTCAGATTACTGGAAAACAGCTCTTGCTCAAGTCGTATTATTATTCCCAAAGTCTCAGAAAGGCAGAGATTACTTGATTTATTTTAATAAGTTAATGTTTTAGCTAATTATTTTTCCAGTGTTTAAAATGGTTCCACAAAGGGAACACTGTCCACCTAAAAATGATTTTGAAATCTTGTGATAAATGATAAGGTGCAAGAGAAGAGCTGCAGATCATTTTTGGAAAGTCACTTGAAAAGCTATTGACACATGAAGTGTTAGGGGATGGGGATTTGTGCTGCTTCTGAAAACAAACAAAAGGAATTCATAAGCATGGTTGATGTCGCACCATCAAGCTGGCTTTCAATTTCCGGGAGTCCTTACATCTTTTACTTCACTTCCATCTTACCACAGGATGATGAAAATAACATTTAGGTCATTTTAAAAGCATTTCAGAGTTTATAAATCTTTGGAAGCCATTTTTTAAATAAAGATGGGGCTCTTTTTTCCACACAGGGATGTACGCTACATTTATTTAGCTTCCATAGAACCCTTTCTGAAGTCTTTTTGTCCCTCCTTGAGGCAGTAAATACAAATAAAAACCAGCAGCAGAGCTGATGAAGGCCTCTCCTCCCATCAAAGGAAAACATCCTTTGCCGTTTCATGGGAACATAAACGGCTTAAATGACTAAATCCAGCAGTGTTATTTAGAATGTTTCTCAGGAGCCCTTTAAACCAGACTTTTACCCACTCTTATCTGTCCTGTGATCTTCTGGGCATTTGCATCCCCCTCTGTCTGAGAGAGACAGTTCTCTGCTGTGATAATGACTTGCACTCTAATTAGTATCACTAATCAAATGACAGCATGCAGACCCACCATCTCTGTGTTTCTGCGCTTTCCAAAATTAGGAATATGTCCTTGAGATTTTGCTCAATTTTCATCTTCCATTTCCTTTGATTTATCACAGGGGCTGACGATGGTTTTTGACTACATAACATGACATTTTAATGCGGCTTTGCTGATCTTAAAGTCTAAGCAGCTCCTTTCTTGGGCAGCTTTGTTGTGCAGACCCACTTTTGCTGCAGCTCTCTGTGCAGCGCTCCCTCGCCTCTCATATAGAGGCTGGATTGTGAGGTCTCTCCTGGCCCGCCTTTCTGTTTTTCTCACTTTCCATATGCAAATCCCACGTCTGTAGTGGCTTTGTGTGAAAGCACAGATCAAGGAGGTTTGCTGCTTTGAGATCTTTGCTCTGATGTTTGTTTGTTTGTTTTTTTTGCTTCCTGTGCTGTAGGTGCAAGAACAAGTTATATCCCGATAATCTTCCTCGCACCAGTGTGGTGATTGTATTTCACAACGAGGCCTGGAGCACGCTGCTGAGAACCGTTCACTCAGTTATTGACCGCTCTCCACATACACTGCTGGAGGAAATTGTCCTGGTGGATGATGCCAGTGAGAGAGGTAAACTCAAACACACACACACACACATACATTAACTGCTGATAATTCCTTTAGTGCCTCCTGTTTGAGGCTTAACCTATTTTTGTGAGCCATTGTATGATTTTTCTGGATTGAGTCGGCACTGGTGACCAATAGCCAGTCAGCATATTCATGTATAAGGGCTGTGTACCACTCCACCCTGTGCTGTTAATCCCTGTTTGGTTGAGATTAGGTCTTTAATTTGCCAGCCGCAGGGATTACACTGTGTTATTACCCTCAATCCACCCCAGTCGCCATCACACAGCACAAAGCAACCTTATTGGTCAGGTTGGATGTTGTAAGTCAGGGGTGTGTGTGTGTTTGTGCAGGGTGGAGAGCTTTCTGCAGATAGTAGGGATGTCAGCGGGTATGCTGGGGCACACACAAGCAAGAAAAAGACATAAACACAAATTTACTTTTACCGTCTGGTAAAGTCGGGGGAAGGGGGGTCTGGGGTCATGCTTGTATCTGCCTGTACTTCTCTCATATATGTTTTCGGCTGTGCCTCAGATTTTCTCAAAAGGCCGCTGGAACAGTATGTCCGAAGATTAGAAGTGCCTGTCAGAGTGGTGCGGATGGAGCAGCGCTCCGGACTCATTCGCGCACGCCTCAAGGGAGCTTCTATCTCCACCGGCCAGGTGTGAGCTCACACACACACGTGACACACACCAAGCCGTGCCTTGTGCTCCATCTGGTGTTCGGCTCTGCTGGAATTGTCTGTTCCTCTCCATGTCCGCAGGTTATAACCTTTTTGGATGCTCATTGCGAATGCACCACAGGTTGGCTGGAGCCTCTGCTCGCCCGCATCAAACAAGACAAGTAAGGCACACGTACACAGCAGCCAGCAGGGGGGCTTGCCCTTGTGTTTACCGATTGCTTAATTACTCGCACAGCTTTAAGTAAGCGCGCAACCATGTGAAGGAAACACTAAAGTCAATGGGGGTGGGAGCAGAATGCCTGTCTGTTCTGTAGGTGCCACACCTTGCAGTGAAACACACAAGCAGGTCTTTGATCCGCGGCTGATTGTACATTGACCAGTATTGATGTACTTGTGTTGCCTCAGGAGAACGGTGGTGTGCCCCATTATCGACGTCATCAGCGATGATACGTTTGAGTACATGGCAGGATCCGACATGACGTACGGGGGCTTCAACTGGAAGCTGAACTTCCGCTGGTACCCCGTCCCCCAGAGAGAGATGGACCGCCGCAAGGGAGACCGCACGCTTCCCGTCAGGTCCGTGATGCACGACGAGAACCTTCAGTCCATCTTTAACTCCTATGTTTCAGCTAGGTTTCTTTCCTACTGGTTCATGTGCCCCGAAAATCCAAAACTGTGTGATGATAGACTTAGGAGCAAACAGGCAGGATCACACCCTGTCCTCCCGCTGTGCTGTGAGCTTTATTGTTGTCTTTAAGCATTCACAGTGGATCTGCAGGGTCATTTTAAATCCTTAGAAATGACGGACTTCCAGAGGAGGTGAGGAGCTGCAGTTTGAAGCTTTGAATGCAGGGTCATTCATGCGTGTGAAACCCCGTTTATCCACATCAAACGCTATACAAACCACCATTATGCTTACATAAGGGGGGACGAAACAGCTAAGTCACTTAGTTTCATTCAACATAAAAAATGTTTTTGCAGAATGCAGTGGACCTTGCTCTGAGCTGATGTCAATATCATTCTCTCAGATTGAGTTATTTTGCTTATTGTGTAGTTCCTCAGGGGTCAGACCTTGCAAACACAAAGTAAATTTCCTCCTGTCCGTCATCCATTCTTCCTGCTGTTGTTACTAAACGCACTCAACACCACTATTCAACATCACATGTGTAATATGTCCTATGTGACACCTTGCATCCATTTTTTGGGTTGTTTTTCGCACCCTAGCTTGACAAAAGCTTCTCAGGGATGTCTTGTAAGTGGCCTAAAAATGAAAATGGGTCAATACATCTGGGCAGAAATGAATTTAGAGTAATGACAGTAACCCCAGTTAATCCAAGCAGTTTATTTTTGCAATAGACCCGTAAAACAATTCATTTGTGACCTTGGTAACCCCTCGTCCTGCTCTTTGACAGTGAGACCTATCTTTTTTTCTTTAGTTTTTCACTGTGTTTCTATGCATCATCTACCCTTTAGCTGTCACTTCCACTGTCATTTTCGCCATTTTAAAAGATAAAAAACGTTCTTTACGAAAGCTTTAGGCGTTTGCATTAATGTGGTAACATCACAGAGGTATACAGGTTTGGTTTAGTTTTTTCTTAGTTTTTTTTTTTATTTGAAGAATCCTTGTTATGAACTTGGTGTGTGCTGAGTGAGCAGTAACCAGAGGGTGGGATTTTTGGTCTTTGGCGCAGGTGAAAACCTCATCAGCTAAAGTGATTATTATGAGCTCTTTTAGGCCTCAAATCACAGTAATGTGAAAACGTCTGAGCTCTTTAATTTCATAGATAAAACTACAACAAATGAGAAAGGTCTGAAACGTGCTTTGAAGTCAGTAAATGGAAAGCAGATGTTTCCGTCTGTCCTGCAGACAGATGAGAATGAAGCGAAAACCACTCCAGAGGAGCAATGCAGTTTTCTATTTGTTAAACCAAATGGTCCTTGGATGACATACACAGTTTTTATGGATGGACCCTCCATCTTAGTTTAAGAGGCTTTAATTAGGATCAAAGCCCTACTCTTAATTAGGGGCTGTCATTTATTTTATCCTGACGTTTGAGTCTCATAAAAAGAGTGATTTAATTGTATCCTGCAATGTTTAGGGACCTTTAATGTATTGACAGAGACACGGCTTCCATTACAGGCATTAACCTCTTTGTTTTTGGATGAACATTCACAGCCTGTCACAAAAAAGGGCGCCGCTTTTTGTTTATATCTACTTCTTACTCGCTATGTACCGTCCAAGTGGTGCAGAACTGCCTTTGTGTTTTCAGGATGCGTTTCATCTGTGTTTGTGTGCAGGTTTTTGTGGGGGTTTTTTTTATAAGTGAGCTTGGATGTGAAATGAAAGCAACAACAGGCAGCTGGAAAAAAAAAAAAGGCCACTCTACAAAGGAGGAAACCAGTCTGTGGGAGTTAGTGGGGGGTGAAAAGGGGAAGAGAACAGAGGCCATTAAACACTGACATGACAACAACAGAAAAGTGAGCAGGGAAAAAAAAAAGAATTGAGGAGAAAACAGGACAAGAACAGGGAGTGACAAAAAAAAATCAGATGGCATCTGTACGACCTTTATGGAAGTGGCTTGGGAATAAAAAGACGCTAACCAGCCTGGGACTTAATGTGCTCTTTTTTCCAGGACTCCCACCATGGCAGGAGGCTTGTTCTCCATAGACCGAGATTACTTTCAGGAAATTGGCACGTATGACGCAGGCATGGACATCTGGGGTGGAGAGAACCTGGAAATCTCTTTCAGAGTGAGTGAACACAGCCAATTGGCATGACTTTATTCTTCCACGAACTGGCAGGCACTCAGGAGTGTCTGCTGGGGTTCACATACACACATTCACGGATGGTATGCCTTTTTAGGACGATTAAATTGTCGACGTGCCAAGTACTTTGTCAGGCGTCCCCCTGACTGGCTTTAGATCTAACTTATTCAGGCTTTCACGACTCTGGCTGGAGTAAAGTGTCTCGGCCACCACACAGCAGAGTTCAGCCGAAAAGTGTGTCAATTCGCCAAGGTGCTCAGCAGTGGTCGTGATGTGGTCGGCTCTTCACAGATCTGGCAGTGCGGAGGGACTCTGGAGATCGTCACCTGCTCGCACGTGGGCCACGTGTTCCGAAAGGCCACACCCTACACGTTTCCTGGAGGAACGGGACAGATAATCAACAAAAACAACCGACGCCTGGCAGAAGTGTGGATGGACGAATTTAAAAACTTCTTCTATATCATCTCTCCTGGTGAGTGAGGCTGTGTGTGTCTGTGTGTTTGTGTGTGTTAAAACTAGGGCGTGTCTGGGTGCTCGTGTGTGTGTGTGTGTGTGTGTGTGTCTGCAGGTTAATAGATGCTTTGTAGCGTGAAATTACTCATCGCCCCTCGTCCTGCACTGTTGGACTACCAGTGCAATATCACTCTGTCACCAGGCCATTGAATAGATCAAACCTGCCTCAGGGATTAAGCTCCACACGTGAGCCCTTACATACATTGCTGCGTGTGCACAAACCCTCACACAAGTATGTCATAGAGGGGAGAAAAACAAAAACAAAATTTATACCAAACTTCCCGTACTGAGTGACAGGAGGTTCTGTTCTGACCCGTAGGTCACCACCTGAAGCAATAACATGGGACTCAAGAATAACTCATTCGAGTCAAGTGTTTAGGGATATTTGTTAACAATGCACCTTCTTCAGACATAAATTCTCCCTTCATAATGTGTAGCAAATGATTTAGGAATGAACAACACAAAAATAAAGGTCAGGCAACAGAATTTCTTTTTGTGGTTCTTGAAGATCTGTAACCTTCTGAAATTGTCTCAAGAGTCAATTCAATAGAACTGGGGAAAAAACTGAAATATGGAAGTATATTAAAACAAACTCTTTCCAATTACTAACAATGAAGAATAAATACCTTGCATCTTGGGCTTGTTTTAGTGTCATAAGAATGACATTTATGGGATTTTCGCTTTGCTTCTAATCCATATGGGATATTTTTTGCTAAACTCTGGCTCCCTGTGGAAAAAACTTCTCAAAAGGCTGAGCTGTGTGGAGGCAGTGTGTCATGTGAGTGTCTTTTCACATGTTCAGGTGTGACCAAAGTGGACTACGGTGACATCACGTCTCGCTCGGCTCTGAGGCAGAAGCTGCAATGTAAACCCTTCAGCTGGTACTTGGAGAACGTCTACCCGGACTCCCAAATCCCAAGGCACTATTTCTCTCTGGGAGAGGTGTGTTCGTACACACACACATACACGGCTGCCATTTTTACTGGCGTTTTTGTTGCTAACTGTGACGCCTGTTGGTTTGGTTCAGATCCGTAACGTGGAGACCAACCAGTGCCTTGACAACATGGCGCGGAAGGAAAATGAGAAGGTTGGCATTTTCAACTGCCATGGCATGGGAGGCAACCAGGTAAGTGGATGGAGGAGAAATGTAAATATGATATGTAAAGACGCCTGGAGTGCTGCCATGCTGCTTCTCCTCACAGCAGCAGTGATTGATGTGAGCTGTGAAAGGCTTGTTTTAAAGAGCTGATATTGCTCTTTGTGGGTATTTCAAAGTTATTCCTTAGTGTAAATCATGTGTTGTTGCAGCAAAGACTCTCTTCCCCATTTGATATAGTAGCTCAGCACCGGCAGGCATTAATAATAGGGATGATACTTCACACACTCGAGGGGGGGGGCTTAAAAGAAGCATCAGCTAAAAGTGAGCAAGTCAGAGAGAAGACATTGATGCTGCAGTAGGCAGTTTTGAACAATTTGAGCATGTAAACTGCTTTTATGAGACCCACAATAAAAAGATCGCGCCAGTGAGCGTCATCGTTAAAAATAGATTTTTGCGCAGGTTTTCTCCTACACGGCCAACAAAGAGATCAGGACAGACGACTTGTGCCTGGACGTGTCCAAACTAAACGGACCCGTCATGATGCTCAAGTGTCATCACCTTAAAGGCAACCAGCTCTGGGAGTACGATCCTGTGGTGAGTTGGAGCCACCATGCAAATCTTATAGCTGTAAATAGTTCAAAATGAGCGTATCTAAAGGCTGTGACCCCCTCCCCTCCGTGTCCCCGCCATGCAGAAGCTGACCCTGGTCCACGTCAACAGCAACCAGTGCCTGGACAAGGCCAGCGAGGAGGACAGCCAGGTGCCCAGCGTCAGAGACTGCACGCACACGCGCTCCCAGCAGTGGCTGCTCCGCAACGTCACACTCCCAGAAGTCTTCTGACCACACTCTGTACACCCACAGACACGCACACCCACACACACAGCAGCCCGGCCTAAACAGTCAGAGGAGCGGACACGTTTATTCACGTTGGGCACCGGGAAAAGAGAGACTTCCCGTGAGGGGACTCGGGAGGAGAGGAGGATGGATGGGATGGTACTACCTCTGCCAGAGATCAGAGGGAGGAGTTTCTTCTGGCCTCCTCGGAGCGAACAGAGCGGAAAGACTCCCCCCAAGGGGACGACGGCTGTTGTTTTACATTTGTTTAGTTTTTTTGTTTTTGTTAAGAGACATTGACCACAGAGAGGGACTGACTCCTGTGCGTGGACACGAGTCGGCGAGCTGGACTGGAGGTTGGGCACTCACTGCTTCCCTGGACGGAGTGGCCCCCCCCCCCTCAGCTCATCACTTAACTGACTGTTTACTGACCGCCTCTGGTCAGAGTGCGTGTGCTTGGGCGGGTGAGTGTTCTCTGTGACGAATGTATGCTTTGAGAAGGGGCCCGAATCCCTCGCTGAGGTGATCTTTTATTTAATTTTTTAATGGATTTTGAAATTGAAGTCATATGAAGAAGGATGCATGTTTTACGTGAGCGCGTGTGTGAGGACCTGTCTTGTTGTGCGTGTGTGTGCGTGTGTGTATGTTCAAGTCAGAGCCCCTCCTACAGTCTTGCAGCAGAGTATGGCGCCCTCTGGTGTCTCTCCGCAGCATCGCATCGAACAAACTGAGGCCTCCACACGGAGGGGTTTCAGATGGACGGCACATTCAAAAAGAAAAAGGAAAGGAACTAAAAAGACCTGACGTCTGCCCTCAGCAGAGATCTAGTGATAGAGAAATACAATGTTTGTGATATCTTGAGATTTCTATGTCCAGTTTTTACATGGCTCGTCCGTTTCTACTGTTCGAGTAACCTTAGTTTGTCTGTCTGTCTGTCTCTGTTGTCCTTAAAGATGTTAAGCATAGAGCCAACACACAATAACACACACACACACACACAGATAGTACACACACATGTAACTAATGTTCTCTGCTGCCGTCTCCCATGCTGCACTACATATTCACACTCGTATTGTAAACATATAGGCTGAAGGCAGTCTGTCTTCTCATATCGTCTTCTCAACAACCTCTTTGATAAGGGAAAAAAAAAAAAAACACTCCCAGGGCTTCTTTCCTCCAACAGAGTGTGGGGCAGTGTGCATCCGTGTGGGTTGGAATGTGTGCGTCTTCAGTGCTTATCCCAGTTCATGAGCCCTCCACTTCCTGGAATAAACGGCGCTCTGATTCTTCTCCTTTAGACAACAAAGAGCCTGTAGGTGGAGGATTAGCGCATCCCTGATCCAAACACGGGGCCTCCACTCCCTGCTGTGGACACATCTGCAGGAGGACGGCGCTCCGAGGCGACATTTCTGAGGTGGCAGAGGAGATGTGGAGCAGAATAATAACTTTAAAGAGCCCGGGGGAGGAAATGATGGGTAAATTACTGTGTGCACGGAGGCGGCAGATCATCATATCTTAATCCATAACTACATATCTTCAACACGCATATATCAGTGAGAGATAGACAGACAAGACGGCATCTCATTCTCGTTTCGATCATCATGCTTCCTTTTATTATTTGTGTTTCGTGTCACAATGGTTGGTTTCACAGAGGTTTGAAACATTTCGTCTTCCTCCAGTGGAGGAAGGGTTTACACACGGGCCACGCCAAGGGCTCGTCTTTGTAGTGGCCGAGCCGGTCAGAGGGGGCCGCTTTGTCACGTCTGAGCGAATGACTGTAGCGATGATCTTTTTGATTGTGGGTCGGAGGGTGTGTTTGCGTGGACTGTTCATCTATCGGGGGCTGAGGGTTTGAAAAGAACGGACACCTCCTGGCTTCCACATTGAGCTGATCCAAATGTAGAAAATAAAGGCGAAAAAGGTTTACAAAACTATTTGAGGAGTGTGCTGATTTCTGCCCCGTTGAGTCTGTGCACGCCACACACCTTCAACACACACCATCCAAATTCTCATTAGCAGTGTGCAGATTGCGATGGGAATTCGGAAGCATCAGACTGATTTTTACAGCCTGACAAGTATATTTCAGTTCGACATGGTCTTCCATCACCAAGTCACTCCTCATGAGATGTATAAGAAAAAACAGCAGCTATTCCTGGCCTCTAAAAAGTTTTGTATTACTATGACACCTTTATAATTTTGCTCATGACTCATTTGAGAGAGATCAGATGAGAATGTGTCGGCGCAGGACTCACCCTCTCTTCTGTGCAGGTGTATGAACAAACAAAGAGAAGACATAGGGAAGGACCCCCAGAGGCAGGTGGCGGAGGTTCCCTCAAGGGAAAGGACCAAAGTCAAGACAATAGAGTTAAGAATGTGGGGAGTTTGACAGCAAGGAAAGATGGAGGTAACAAAGGAGGGACCAGATCCTGAGTTCACACACTGGTAATGGAGGGACTTTTTTCCCCAAAAATAACTATTCAATAGAGTTAACTTGATGTATTCTCAATCTGTCAGTAAGGATGGTTAATAGATCAATAAAAAGATGTTTAAAGTTTGAATTTCACCAACTTGGGCTTTTGAGCCCGGCTTGCGTACGTGCAGAAGCTTCATCTCTCTTATCTGCGCCGCTGCTGGAGAGATGAGCCCGGACTGAAACAAGGTAGGCCCTGTGGGACTGTTTTCCGTCCTATTAATAAACATGACAGTACAGTGTGGAGGTAATGGAGTCAGGCTGCAGACTGAGGAGGTGTTTAGTGTGCAGTGGATTATTCAAACTCCTTCTCTTGATCCGCTGAATTATTCATTTATGAGGATTAGGACCTACAAGGGCCATCAGTATGACATATTAGACAGCTGTGGTTCGCATAAACATGCAAAACATGCCGGTGCCTTTGCATCTGTTTTCTGAAAGCATCTGTTCAGTAGATGCAGCATTAATATGTGCTCACACTAACATGGCTTGTCAGCACTCCAATTTTAATTAAATTCTCTCTCTTCACGGAGAGGAAAAGGTATCATCGGGCACCACCGACGGCACGATCTTGCCCTCAGCTTTAGAAAAACACGGAGGCTCAGAAGTCAAGGCGAGTACGGGGCCCAGAAAAGTCTTCAAAGGGGCATGTCCCTCTGTTCCTCTGTTGCAAATGAAACGGATGATGCTCAGATTTAGTGC